TTAGTGATAAAACGTCTTGTGATACTGTCAATAGATTGAATCGAATTTAAAATAATAATGATCCATTCGTAAGTGCAATTTTACTCTTATCTAGGCCATAAGCGGGATATTTGGGGGAGTTGTATGGTTTAGATACTTAATGTTGGGTAAGTATTGCTGGCCCTAAAGTGCTTACTGGATTCATTGAAGCTCCAGTGGATTCCATACATGATAATCCATTATTTTTAAAGTTCAATAATAACTGGCTTACATGAATCTATGTTTTTCATATATTCGTAAATGAGGTGTTGCAGTGGTTTGACAATAATAATAAAACTTTGTAGAAGCTTATGATGCAAAAGAGGATTGAATATTTCTAGCGACAAAGATGAAGGAATAGCAAAATGGAAATCATTTAAACAAAGGGTTAATTTCACAAACGGTCACCGAATTACTAAATTTTAGAACTTTTAGAAACGATCACTGAAATTTAGAGCACTTTCAAAAATGGTCACTGAAGTTCGTAAACTTGCAGAAATGGTCACTATTAGGATGTTTAATAAAAATGTGAGTTTATTTTTTTATTATGGATTTAATGGCACGTTAGGCGCATCACATTAGATCGAATAGAGAATAAAATATTTCTGTTTAACATTTTCCGATGTTTGATGCAATTAGTACTAGGATTAAATTAACCCAATGTTCTTACCCTCTATTAACTAATATGTAAACAAAATACTTGTAAATAAAATTTTCCATTTTGAGTAAGAAAGATGTCATACAAGAAAATCTGTTTAGGAAAATAATTCGCTCATTAAGTTAAAGAAAATCTTATTAAAAAATATTTTCACAAATTTTGATTTTTCTTTACTTGTATTATCTTTTAGTAATACAGTATAACTCCAAATGCCAAATTATAACAATTCTCTCTCACCACTTAACACAATCTTCTAATCCGATTCCTCCTAACTATATCACTCTAATCCAATATAGTGTATCAAACGTGTCCTAGTTTATTTATTTCTTCTAACATGTACAAGCTACATGTTTGTCAAATAGACTTAAAAACAAAAGCAACCGTGAATTGACTGGGTCCAGCTATGAGTATATTGAGCATGATCCCGAGCATTTTAATTAAAATCCAATTCCGGTCCGGTCCCAACAAAAAAAAAAAAAAAAAAAAAATTAATTAGGAACCGGAACTGAAAATTGATTGGGTATGAGAGGTTATTGAATCCTAAACCAAAATCTTGGTTACCAAAATGGAATCGATTTTCTATACAATTTATAGGCTGGAAAAAAAGAGAGCAAAACTTAGAAACCCTAATTTGTATAGTAATATAGTAATTTGTCTAAAATTCTAAACTCTGATACTAAGCAATCAAGAGTCGCTCCTACCATTTTGGCCCTTGCCTGACGTCATATTGTAGCATTTCATAGGTATCTAACTATAAAGTTATGTATCTAACCAGTATTGTTTTATGTCAGTTCGTTTCAAGAGAAGAAGAATTTAAGTATTGTTTATAATTAAATTACAGCCTCTAACATGCCTCACTTATGGATCGAGTATGATTTATTAAGAAAAACAATTTCTTCTCAAACTGTAATTTAATATTATTTTTTAATTTTCTAGTGTCTTCTTCGCTTTTAGTCCCACTATTTCCTTCTTAAAGATTTCTTAGTTGAATTTTCTCTCTTACACAAAAATATTGTCATTAATAGCGTGTTTAGGCATATGTATTGAAATGACACATATGAAAATGTTTATTAAATGTATACTAAAAAAAATTATGAATAGATTTGAACCAAAATTGAAATCCACATTTTAGATTTGATTTAATTCAAGTAATTACAAGGAACCGAATAGTTCCATTTACAAAATACTCGAAGTATTCAATTGAGACTTTCGAAGATGTTGATGGACTTTTTTATAGTGATAACTTTTGTGGATTTCGTGGATCTTTTATAGATTTGTGTATAATTAGCGAAAGTCTTTCATAGACTTCTATGGATTTTCATTTTAAAATTTTATAGACTTTTGTAAAATTTAATTGGCTTTTGAAAACTTTCATTTTAAATGGAATTCATGTAGATCTGAGGTAAAATTCTCACGTACAAGGTGTTAGTTCCCACAAATCCCATTTTCTTTCCCCTTCTTCTTACCATATAAAAATAAAAAAATAAAAAAATTGAGAAAATAAAAATTTAAGACCTTAATCAAATAAATAATCATCAAAATTATATATGACTCGATGGTGTGGTGAGGTAGTGTTCTGGTTTCTTAAAGTTGATTTTTTAGATTGCGTAGATCAAAAAACTATTGTACGTTCTAATCACACGTAAGTGCAGAATATTAATTTGAGGAATAAAGACTTATGGGTAGTGCAGAACATAGAAACAAAAATCATGCTTTTTCTTGTGGTTTGAAGTATGATTCTATTGGGATCTTAGGATCAGAGGCTAATATAAATAGAAAAACATTAGCAGAAATGAAATTTGATTTGTTTGAGGGTTGAATATTCTGATTGATGGATAAAAATAAATTTTTGGTTATGTAAGTATCAATTATGCTAGTCTTAACTCGATTTGATGAAGACTCTTTTCCTCTTCAATCAGAGCCAGTCCTGTGGCGAGGCCCATGAGGCCTGCGCCTCAGGCCCAAAATCGAGCCCAAAATCGAAGGGGGCCCAATTTTGAGCCCTTTTTATTATTTTTTTAGATATAGGGTTTAGAGAAATACGTTTTCAATCATTTTCCTCCTACTGCTTACAAAACAGAAGTGCAATCAAGTGAACCGACCTCCAAATTCCAATTCCACTTCAAGATTTCAAGTCAGAGTTCATAATCAAGAAATGGGGGTGATGATAAATTGATAATTCTTCACAAGGCCATACCAGTTTAGATTATTCTTCTAATCTTCTGTAGCTGGCGACGAAAATGTCGAGGCCGAGAGCTTCAATCCATGCTGGTAAGTGCTAAGGTTAATCACTTAATCTAAACTCTACCTGCAGTGCATTTTGTTGCAATTTTAGTTTCTTTTTGCAAATTTAGTTTCTTGCAATTTGCGATTTAATTTCTTGTGATTTGGGTGTTTGTAATTAGCATCTGTGTAACTGTGTTTGGAACTTGGGAAGTGAAGCATGAGAAAGGACTCAAAGGAGTCGGATTTGAATTTTCAGAGGAGCATCTTTTCAGATTATTTTGCCTTTCTTGGCCGAATTAATTTTTTCTGTCCTAAATGGATGTTGTTATTGGATTTGCAAAATGAAAAATGGAAATTTGTTCATCAAGCTCACATTTTTTTTGGGACAGCTCCGGATGTCATTTTAATTTTGTATTGCATTGTTTCTGTTACCCTGTAATGTTGAAATTTGCATAAATATTAAAATATGTTATTGTATTTGCAAAATGGAAAATGAAAATGGGAATTTGTTCAACATATCTTGATTCAAGAAATACATCTGTCATTGTGTCATCTGTTAAGAAAATGGCTTGTGAGATTCTTGAAATGTTTGCTGAAGGTCTGAAGATTCAACCAAAAAATACATTCAGTAAGCTTCTTATGGATGAAGAGAGTGACTCTTTATACAAGCTGAATGATGTTTAGTTGCTTACCGATGCTCTGTTGTTACAACACAGCCTCATATGTTTTTTAACTTCTACTTTCAAAGTGAGTTATGGTTAACATTTGAAGTATTTTCAAGTTTTGAATCAACAGGTAAACAATCGTGCTTGCAGGCCGCATTTATGAATACTTGATCAATTGAATAGACATTAGAATTCTGAACTTCCTTATATTCTTTCATCTTAAAATCAATTCCATAATTCGATAATATTTATTTGAATATGGAGATCAATATTCTTATCATGTTCATATTTGTATTAGCGTGTAATTTGATGATCGTGTTAATATTTGTAATAGCGTTTGATGTGAAATCTTTGTTTCAGGGTTGGGAGTTGTGAGTCTTGTGATAGTGGAATTCTTGAAGGTGTAACTTAGCAGTTTTCGTCAAAATTCTACTTGTCAGGTAAGCAATGGCTTGCCTTAACTTGTTATTGAAGAAATTGAAAATGTTTGAAGTCTTGTCAGCTTACATAATTGTGGCCTGGTCGGCTTATATGATAGATTATTAGAGGATCAACAATTGCACAGGCACACATAATAACTATATTGAAAATTCTAACTGTGTGATGATTCGAGATATTTTGTAATTGTTTTTTAGGTTAATCATTGGGTGTCAGATATAGACTCATACACCATGCCTCCTAAATATGAGTCTGGTGCTCAAAAGAGAAAAAGGAAACGAAATGAAATTTCATTAATTCAAAGTCAAGTAGGGAATATTGGCAAGTACTTTAAAAGAAACAATGTGAATACGTTGAATGAGGATGAAGTAGAGATTCAACCTGCATGTGTTAATGAAGTATATGATAAGGATGAAGAAGTGAGTCAACCTACCTACGTTAATGTAGTAGATGATAAGGAAGAAGAGGTGATGAAATCTGCATGTGTTAATGAAGTAGATGACAAGGAAGAAGAGGTTTGCTTTTCTCTAAATTTGGATGATCCCGGGAATTGGAAAATCATTGATCAGAGAACAAGGGATTACTTAGTTGAAAGGGGTCCAAAAATAGTTGATGACATCTCATTTCCAAAAGATTGTACAAATAGGCATTTCAATTCTTCACAATATAAGCGATTGCTACGAAATGGGCAAATAATTGATAGAAGATGGCTAGTATATTCAATATCTATGGACAGGATCTTTTGCTTTTGTTGCAAGTTCTATAAAAAACTTAAAAATGTTACCAGAGTTGGCCAACTTGGTAACGATGAATTCAAAGATTGACATAATTTGCATCGGTCTATTAAAAGTCGTGAAGGAAATGAAGAGCATTTATGTTGCATGACTAGCTGGATTGAATTGGAAAATAGGCTTCGAACAAAAACTACAATTGATAAAAGCGTTGAATTGTTGATCGATGCGAAAAGAGAACATTGGAGGCATGTATTAACAAGGATGATTGCTATTGTAAAAAGACTCGCCATAAACACCTTGCCATTTCAAGGAGATGATGAGAGGCTAAATGTTGAAAACAATGGTATGTTTTTACAAATGGTGGAAATAGTTAGCGAATTTGATCCAATAATGACAGAGCACCTTCGGCGGGCTAATGCAAAAGAGATTCAATACACGTATCTTGGCAAAAAAATTCAAAATCAGTTGATAGAGTTGTTGGCTAATGAGGTGAGAAGTGCAATTGTCAAGAAAGTTAAACATGCAAAATATTTTGCAGTTATACTTGATTGTATTCCAGATGCAAGTTATGAGGAGCAAATGTCGTTAATAGTATTATTTGTCGATGATTTGGCAAACTTACCTACAGTTGAAGAACATTGGCTTGAATTTTTGGAGGTAGATGACACAACAGGACTTGGACTTACAACCGAGCTTCAAAAGGTTTTGATCAAACTCGATTTGGATATTGATGACCTTAGAGGGCAAGGGTATGATAACGATCTAACATGAGCGGGAAGCATAAAAGTGTGCAAAGAAGAGTACATAAAATGAATCCCCGAGCTTTTTATACTCCATGTGGCGCTCATAGTCTAAATCTAGCGTTATGTGATATGGTGAATTGTTGTTCCAAAGTTATATCCTTCTTTGGAGTGATACAACACATCTACACTTTGTTTTCATCTTCTACTAAGCGATGTCAAATATTTAAAGATAATGTAAAAGGGTTGATTATGAAGCCATTGTCACAAACACGTTGGCAAAGTCATGTTGAGAGTGTGAAGCCTATAATGGAGCAAATTGCACAGATAAGAGAAGCATTACTTGATTTGGCAGAAACTAACGAAGATCCTAAAGTAAAAAGTGAAGCCGAGTCGTTGGAAACACATGAACTTTAGAATTTTGAATTCTTGCTTGACATGGTAATCTGGTACAGGTTGTTGCATGCAGTTAATATTGTGAGTAAATTTCTTCAAACCGAATCCATGGATATTGATCATGCTATCGACCTATTGTAAGGACTTGTTTCATTTCTTGAAGATTATAGAGAAATTGGATTTGCCATTTCCATGGATGAAGCGACAAACAAAAGCAAACGAAATGGGAATTGAAGCTGTATTTATAGAAAAACACATAATTCGAAGAAAAAAGCAATTTGATGAAAACTGTAGTAATGAGGTAAAGTAATCAGCAGAAGAATCATTTAGAGTTGAGTACTTTGTTTTTATAATTGATCAAGCTCTATTTTCTCTGAGAACTCGATTTGAACAATTCAAACACTATGATGATATATTTGAATTTTTGTTTAATTTGAAGAGGTTAAGGAGTGCAATTTTATCAAGTTTGTTGAACTCTTGTATGAATCTTGAGAAATATCTTGAACATGATGGGCTTTCGGACATCAGTGGAGATGATTTATGTTCGGAGTTACAAGTCTTGAAGATTTATTTACCAAATGAAGCAACAAGAGCAATTGAAGTGCTACACTATTTGAAGACATTGGATGTTTGTTTGCTTATATTCCTTACAAAATTTTGTTAACCGTATCAGTTACAGTTGCATCTGCGGAAAGAAGTTTCTCGAAATTGAAGTTGATCAACACTTATCGCCGATCAACTATGTCACAAGAAAGATTAAAAGGGTTAGCTATGTTGTTAATAGAAAAAAGAAATTGTTGAGCAGCTAAGTTATTCAGATTTGATTGATTTTTTTGCCTCTAAAACAGCAAGACGAATAGTATTTAACTAATTGTTTGAAATTTATAGTTTGATGGTTTATAATATAAATCGTTTCTATGATATATTTTGTTATTTTAATGTTAGTTTTTTAAGTTAGTAATGAGTCGCATAATATACCTTTGAATTTTGTTGCCGGGGGGGTGGGGGCTAATTTTCATCATTCGCCTCAGGGCCCATCAAACACAGAATCGGCCCTGTCTTCAATCTATAAATAATTATTACAAAAAAAGAAATTAGAAAGCCAAATCCCATCTAATCACCCTTGCTTATATGCCTAAACATTCTCGAATGATTCTCCCACAAATCCCTCATCTCGCCTTGCAACTAATCTACAGGAACGGTTCTGGGACCAGACAAATGAGGCCTACGCCTCAGGCCCAGATTCCAAGGGGGCCTCATTTTCAGCCCAGATTTATTTATTTATTTTTAGTTGAACCAAACCCAATGATGAATTCCCAATTTCCCAATCCCCAATCAAAAACCCTTTTGTCCCAAACGCTCGTCTGAGTAGTCCATCCCCTTCACAGCGTCGCCGATCGCCTCTGTCTCTCTTCTCGACTTCCTCATTCCGACTTCCAGATTTCCTCTTCCTTTGAGTCATCAGTCACGGTCCATGGAGTCGGACACTGTCGTAGTTCACACCGGTTCTATTCCCCTGCAGAGCGCAGTTCGCTGTTCAACCCGTTAACAAGCAAGTGCTTGGCAATTGGCTGTTAGTTTATTATGTTAAGATTATTAATTCCTTTTGATTTATATGTTTACATTTACACTAAGTACTAAGTATTCAACTATTCATTCATGGCTTTTACCTTTTACTTATTATAATTTGGATTACTTGATTTTAATTGATAAATGCTCTTTTTCTATGTTACTGTTAAATACTTAAATGTTAATGGGTTAACGTTATCTAGTCTAGGATGAAGTCGAGGACCTGAAAATGTTCCAACTATGTTTAATGATTATTGTTTAATATATAATTTGTTGTACAAGTTTGAGATGAAGAACTCTCAAATCTCAAGTAATGACTATTGTGTGAAATAGTTTATAGTTAATTTCAATAACTTAGTTTGATAGTTAAGGTGTGAGAATATATAGTTGAGAATTTGAGATATTATTATGTCAATGAACTCAAGAAAAAATATCTTCAGTTTCTACAACTAGTATACTAATTTGAATTAATTTATTTTGTTGATGAAACCGTTTTAATGGTTATTAGTTTTTACTAAATGTGTTATTTCCCTAAGCTTGACTAAATGTGCGCGTATTTTTAAATATTGGCATTTGATGTTAAATTTTTTTTCAGGTTCATAAGTTATGAGGATGGAATTCTCGAGGGTGTGATTCCACAGTTTTCGCTGCAATTCTGCTTCTTAAGTAAGCAGTGGCTTTCCCTAACTTGTTATTTAAGAGATTGAAAATGTTTGGAGCCTTGTCGGCTTATATAATTGCAGCTTTGTTGGCTTATATGATTGATTATTGTAGATTAACTATGTCAGAAGAAAGATAGAATGAATTGGTTAAGTTATCAATAGAGAAAGAAATAGTTGAGCAGCTAAACTATTCAGATTTTATTAATGTTTTTGCCTCTAAAACAGTAAGACGAATAGTATTTAACTAATTGTTTGAATTATTGTTGGTTTTGTTATTTGATAATATAAACTTTTTATATAATATATTTGTTTGTTGTTTTAATATTAAATTTTAAATTAGCAATAAGTTGCATAATACACCGTTGCATTTACATTGATTTCGAGAGGGGGGCCTAATTTATATGCTTTGCCTCGGGCCCTAACAATCATAGGACTGGCCTTGCTAATCTACCTTGACATTTTTGTCATGATGAAACTGACTCTGTATAAATCTTGTGGATTTACTAATGATAAACGTGGGACGAGAGTTACTCAAGTTTGCTTGGAAGAGGTAAAGAATTGTGTTGTGATATTTGAGGTTTGATTGGAATTCCAACTAAACATTTCACCATTTTAAATCTACTGGTATAATCTGTGTTAGAGATAAACAAAATATAAAACACTAAAATATTAAATAATTAAGGAGATGATAAAATTAAATGAATAATAATACCAGTGGATAAGTTATCATTTGTCTTCTTGTCTAATTAATTCTGTTGTTTCAACATGATAATTTCACATGACTATACTTGTAGGTGTTGACCAAAGGTTGTTGACAAATGGAGCCCAGTATAAAAGTGAGAATTTTTAGAACCCTCATTGTCAGTATAATAGGACTTTGGAGATGGTTTTGGTCTCATCTGTGGCACTAGTATTGGAGATGGGTGACTGGAAGGGGTTGGAGGCGGTGATTGGGGATAGATGTGATAATGGGAGGAGGGAGTGGGTTGCATTTGACTCTTTTCTATTCGAATGGAGTGCTGATGGTGACCATGAGGACTAGAAGGGGTTGATGCTGGAGGTTGTGAAAAGGATATTACTCATCAATAAGGTGAAAAGGATTCTGTGAGACTGCAAGAAACAAATGTGACTAAATCTGATTTGGTTGCGTACAGATATGCATGCTGTTAACATTTTTGTGAAGACCAGAATGGAAACATTTGGACTACTCATGCAAGTATGCGGAATTTGTTGACATCCGAAGATTGAGTATGTTGCTTATGTAGCATGAAAGCCTTACAATTATTGTTCCTGTTACAACATGAAGAGTGAAACGTATGCTAGTAGCACCATTCTTGATGTAGGACATAAGGGGTATATTGAAAAAAGAGTACAAGTAGAAATAAATCATTTTGATTCCGAATCGTTCCCGTAAGACCATTTTGGAAAGAAAACAATCGTTCCCATACGTTGAATTTCGGCCATTCGAGTTTGTTTAGGCCTCGAAAACTGATTTTTAAAGTTTTAGCGCTATTTTTGTCAATTCGTTTTTTTTTCTAGTTTGATTAAACTTCTTTTTCATTATTTTTAGTTGTTCTAAACTATGTTTCCATGTAAACCCTTATAAATAAGAGCTTAGCTCGTTTTTTTTTTATTATCTTTTCATTAATAAATTCGTGAGTTTATTTTTTTTAATTATTTGGTGGATTCCAAATTGTTTGTTTTTAAGGTTTTCACTTGAATCCCTTTCTTTCGCTGCGTCAAGTGGCATCAGGCCCCGGCTTTCCCGTCTCTATATCTTTGATTCATAAACATGGGTGATGCACTAGTTACTAGGGCAGATTTAGATGCAACAAACCTACGAATTGACGACCTCATTACTTAGATCGAAGAGATTCGTCAATTGCTTCTACGAGGTGCTGAAAACAATGGGCAGAATGAACAACGGGTAATCAATAATGAGCGAGTGGCTGAGCCTCTAGTTCGTAGAGAAAATAATAGAAAATGTGGAGCAGAAGACAGTGAATTAGAGTCGGAGGAGGAGATCGAAGTACTGTCGCATCATCCTAATCGTCAAAATCAAAATACCTTTGATGATTATCAGATCAAAGCAGACATTCCTCTGTTCTTTGGAAACATGAAGATCGAGGAATTCTTGGATTGGTTGGTGAAGGTTGAGAGATTCTTTGAAATTATGGATGTTTCAGAAAACAAGATGGTTAAGATGGTGGCATTCTGTTTGAAATCTGCGACAGCAGTATGGTGGGATCAATTGCAGAATGCTCGAAGGAGACTGGGAAAGAGTCAAATTCGAACTTGAAGAAAGATAAAGCAGTCTTTGATGGATCGATTTTTTACCTGCAGATTATGAACATATTTTATATCGAATGTACCTGGGATACACACAGGGGAATCATACAGTGTCGGACTACACCAATGAATTTATGCGATTGTCGAAATGGAATAATTTGTCAGAATTTAAAAATCAAAAGGTAGCCAGGCATACTAGTGGTTTGAAGGTGGCCATTCAAGATAGAATTGGGATGCAGAATATTTGGACGGTGCAGGAAGCCATTAACATGGCGATGAAATCAGAGATGATGGAATTTGATAAGAGGATGGTTTCATACAGGAGGCCTTTACCTGCCGAATCATCATTATCCACCCCCTTAGACAAAGGAAAAGCCCCACAACAAGCCCCAGTCCATCTTAACAGGAGTAAAGTTGATAACAATGGTCGTTTTGGGAACAGAAGTCAGACTCGGGGAGCACCTCAGAATGCAAATCCGTACGCTAAGCCCACGGGAGAAATTTGCTATAGATGTCAAAAGCCTGGGCATCGTTCCAATAACTGTCCTGAGAGAAAGCAAGTCAATTTGGTGGAATCGGAGGCAGTAGATGAGGAGGAAGATATTGAAGTAGAGGATGAGTACGCGGGAGTAGAGTTTGCTGTGGAAGAAAGAGTAGAAAGACTTGCTTTGGTACTGCAACGAATCCTTTTATCACCTAAAGAGGAGGTACAATGTCGTTGCATCTTTCCCTTACTTTGTTCTCTCAAGAATAAGTTATGTGAAGTGGTTGTGGATAATGGAAGTTGTGAAAACTTTGTGTCGAAGAAGTTGTTGAATTTGTTGAAACTACCAGTTAAAAGCTATCCTAAACTGTATTCACTTGGTTGGGTAAAGAGAGGTCCTTCTGTTCAAGTTGTTGAAACTTGCAAAGTACCTATTTCCATCAGTAAGCATTATAAAGATGAAGTTATGTGTGATGTCATAGACATGGATGCTTGCCATATGCTATTAGGTCATCCATGGTAGTTTGATGTGGATTCAACTCTCAAAGGGCATGATAATATAGTACTCTTTTCATGGGGCAGTCATAAGATCACTATGGTTCCTCTCAAACAGAGGGAGAAGTCTACAAATTAACGAACTGAGAGTTTCTTTACACTTACAAATGATGAGAAGGAGATTATGGAGTCTGTAAGAGAATCTGATTGCTTCTATCCAATTGTAGTTAAATGGTTTTTTACAACAAATAAAGAAGATGAAAGTGTTCCTCTTGAGGTGCAGGAAATATTGACAGAATTTGAAGATTTG